GTCCCTATATATCTTTTGATTTGCACGAAATTTGGCATAACGTACTGAATTGAGCCTAGAATGATGTCTGCCAAGTTTCGTGAAAATCAGTCAAGATTTAGATATAGCTCCCATATATAGTTTCGTCCGATTTCATGTAAATGGTGCCCCAAAGTCCCTATATATCTTTCGATTTGCACGAAATTTGGTACAGCTTAATCATTTAGGTCTAGAATGATGTCTGCCTTGTTTCATGAAAATCGGTCCAGATTTAGATATAGCTCCCATACATAGTTTCGTCCGATTTCATGTAAATGGTGCCCCAAAGTCCCTATATATCCTTCGGTTTGCACGAAATTTGGCATGACGTACTGAATTGAGCCTAGAGTGATGTCTGCCAAGTTTCGAGTAAATCGGTCCAGATTTCTATATAGCTCCCACATATAGTTTCGTCCGATTTCATGTAAATGGTGCACCAAAGTCGCTATATATCTTTCGATTTGCACGAAATTTGGCATAACGTACTGTATAGATCCGTATAGACTTTTATAACCCCTTATTGACTTAATAAACAAAACAACAAACAAACAGACGAATAAATAAATGCAAGTGAGTAATATTTTTGGGAATTATTTTTTAAGCAAGAAAAACAAAAACAACAAAAAAAAAATACAAAATAACTCAATACCTTATCGCTGGATGTGAATAGCGAACCCCAAAAAATATATATGACGAATATTGCACCCACCAATATTTTGATCATAAATTTGATAATCAAATGCGAGAATGGTTGTGTGGAGTAGATAAAGTTTTTAGCAAAGGCCCCCCGAGGCCTCTCACCTGATAAAGTGACGTCGTTCCAAGAAGACTAATCAATGTCTAAATTTGTATCGTCTGTTGTTTGAAGTTTCTTGAAAACATCGGGTCAATAAAAGGCTCCCCGAGGCCTCTCATCTGATAAAGTGACATCGTTCCAAGAAGAATAATCAATAGCCAAATTTGGATCGTCTGTTTTTTGTGAAGTTTACCGAGAATATTAGGTCAACAAAATGCAATTTTTTTTCTAAGAAAATTTTATTTTCAGGGTGATGTATACATGGTAACACCGGCACAATGAATTTTTTGGGAGCTGGACATGTTCATCAACATTATGCTATTAACATTTCTAAACATATAAAGATGTATGCTAAAGGTCAACGGAAAAAATATTCTTAAAATTCTTTTAAATTCAAGCATGGTTGGGTCTTTAAGAAAAATCTCTTTAAAAAATCCGTTCCTAATATTATGTGGTACCTACGAGCCTGCGTTGATCCTCTAAATCAAAATCTTACAAAAAATCCAAGTCTTAAGAAATATTCTTTCAAAAATCCCGTGTGTGTCCTTAAGACAAATTCTTTAATATTCTATGGCTAGTGATGTGGGGATCCCAATGAAAAAAAATCCACACCAAATGCAATCTGAGGGCCACTTGAATGGAGATTAAAAAAAAAAACAAATCCACAACTAGTACTGTATAGGCCCGCTCTGGAAAATCAATTAAAAATTCTTCACCTACTGCATTCTGGGCAGTAAAATTTCACGCCTAATGCCGGGTATATTCTCGAGAAAAAAACATGTTGAAAAAAGTGAGCGGAGCAGTATAGTCGGACGGCCCCTATAGGCCCGCTCTGGAAAATCAATTAAAAATTCTTCACCTACTGCATTGTGGGCACCTACAAAATTCACGTCTAGTGGGTATATTCTCGAGAAAAAAAATATGTTGAAACAAGTGGGCGGAGCAGTATAGTCGGACGGGGCCGACCATACGATACCCTACACAACTACCACGGAATTCTAACTTTGTGCGTGATATTTGCTCCCTCTAGCCCGATTAGAAGAGGTCAACAGCACTTCTTCCTTACACTGACATATTTCCCGAATATTACTATTCATATTCAGTATTTTCCTTTTAATTAACTGTCCAGAATCCCTTCGCCGTGGGTTGTGTTGTGATCTTCCGCTTATTATTGGCATCGACTCAAAAAAAACACAAAAAATTATGTATTCGGTCCACTTCATCCCAAAATTTTTATCTGATCATCACCGAAAATTATAGGAGTTGTCCTTGACCATAACTGGAACCTCATGGGAAATGTCAAAGCGATCAGCAGCGCTATATTTCCGTCCTCTAGTGTGGTAATGGGTTACTAAATAATGTATGAATACGTAGGCACCTGTAAATATTTCAGTGTAACTCCCACATCCGAGTACATACGGCAATATAATTGGTATCAATTTAAATGCCAGCCTCTCCTCTTGGATATACTATCAACTTCTCGGGTCTATGTCCTTCAGGAGTAAATATACACGCCATAGAATGAACAAGTGAAAAAGCGTTAAGTTCGGCCGGGCCGAACTTTGGATACCCTCCACCATAGATATATTGACAGGTACTAGAAATGAAAATGATGGGAACATACCAAAAAGTGGACCTATACCGACATTTCTAAAAAGGGATTATGTAAACCATAATAAAGAATTCAGTAATTTTAATGGATAATTATACACTGTGGCTAATTGAAATATCGATTCTAGACCCCATGTATCTTTGGACCAAATGCGCTTCAAAAATTTAGATTTCATCCAAACTTTGTCCATCTTATTATTTCTTCCAATCTTAGTTCAAATTCGAAGATGGGAAATATCGGTACACTTTGTCTGGAACCTCCATACAGGGACTAAGTCTTAATGCGGGTTATAGTTCATTATCGAACCTTACGGTCCACCAAAAAGCGGACTTATACCGACATTTCTAAAAACGGATTATGTAAACCATAATAAAAATTTTCGAAATTTTTAAAGGATAATTATACCCTCAGCCTTATGTCTAATGAGGGTATATACACTTTAACACGATGAAAATGTGCCTCATCGAAATATTGGTTCTAGACCCCATGTTTCTTTGGACCAAATCCGTTTCAGAAAATTTAGATTTCATCCGAACTTTGCCCATCTTATTATTTCTTCCAAGCTTAGTTCAAATTCGAAGATGGGGAATATCGGTCCACTCCTTCTGGAACCTCCAATCAGGGGCTAGGTCTAAATGCGGCTATAGTTCACTACCGAACCTTACGTTCTAATTTTTTATCTCTCTCTCTCCTCCGCAGTTGAAATGCTTAAAAAAGGGTCTTAGAACCAAACCCAAAACGCGCAACAAATCAGATAACTATTTTAATATAAAAAGGGGGTTATATGGGGACTACCCCAAAGAGGGGGCGAATATTAATAATTTTTTGGTAGGGAGATTTGTTACCATATACGACTACAAAATACCAAATTGCAGCAAATTCGGTTGAAAAGCGCGCTCAAGAACCCCAAAATACCAAAAATTGGGGGTACCCTTATATGGGGGCTATCCGAAAAAATGGACCTATATTCATAATATGTTGTGGAGAGATTTGGAAACTATTAAGAAGTCAATGTACCAAATTTCAGCGTATTCGGTAGAAAAACGCGCTCAAGAACCCCAAAATACCGAAAATTGGGGGGTACCCGTATATGGGGGATATCCGAAAAAATTGACCTATATTTATAATTTTTTGTGGAGAGATTTACTACCTATTAAGAACCCAATGTATTAAATTTCAGCGTATTCGGTTGAAAAACGCGCTCAAGAACCCCAAAATACCGAAAATTGGGGGTACCCTTATATGGGGGCTATCCGAAAAAATGTACCTATATACATAATTTTTTGTAGAGAGATTTGGTACCTATTAAGAACTCAAAATACTAAATTACAGCCAATTCGGTGGAAAAATACGATCAAAACCCTCAAAATACTGAAAATTAGGAGGTACCGTTATATGGGGGCTACCAGAAAAAGTGGACCTATATTTATAATTTTTTGTGGGGACATTAAGTACCCAATAAGAACTAAATGTACCAATTTTCAGCGTATTCGGTTGAAAAACGAGATCAAGAACCCCAAAATACCGAAAATTGGGAGGTACTGTTATATGGGAGCTATACCTAAACGTGGACCGATAAATCCCATCTTCGAACTTGACCTGCCTGCAGACAAAAGACAACCCTATGCAAAATTTCAGCACCCTATCTCAATTCCTTCAGAAGATAGCGTGATTACAACAGACGGACGGACAGACGGATCGTCTTAGAATTTTACCCTGATCAAGAATATATATACTTTATAGGGTCGGAAATGAATATTTCGATGAGTTACAAACGGAATGACAAAATTAATATACCCTCCATACTATGGTGGAGGGTATAAAAAGGGTCTTTGGTGGACCATTTACCTTAAATCGGACGAAAATTTATATGGGAGCTATATCTAAATCTGAACCGTTTTTCACGAAACTTACACATCATTTTAGACATGGAGAGGTGGGTTTTTCTCTCACATAGCCAATGTTTCATGTCTGCTGTTTCAATCTCTGCTGATTTGTGTTCAGAGCTCATCGCTAGGCAATAAAATTTTGTTTTTTTGTCCACCCCAACAGGTCTAACTCACTGGCAAGAACTGCGGCCCCATAGACTGAGCTTAATGGCAAAATGGTCATTTAGGTAGCACCAACTTCAGTGAGTTAGGCAACTTCAGTGAGTTAGTTCCACTTCCAAATGCTAGAGGTCCGCAGAACAGGACAGACACTAGGGATACGCCATACTGTAATTGCAGATTAATTTATTATATGACCACTAGGGGCGCCACTGACCGCCCTGACTTTTAATCTAAATACGTTGAAATCTCAGATTTTAAATTAATTTGAATGATTAATTAATGTGAATGCCCAAACTCGGGTATCGACCTTTCAATATTTTATTGAACATTCGTACTGCGTTCGTTTTTTTTCTCTTTCCTGTTAATTTGATAACACACACACACGCACACCAACCCACTCCCCTACCCAAAATTTGCAGATATGGATATAAATGCCCTTATCTCTAAAACAGCGAATTCGCAATCTACCCACCCAATTGTACCAAATATATGTGTATTCTGCATGCTAACCCGCAAAACAAAAATGGCAGCCGCAGAAGAAAGTTGTTTGAATTTGCAATTCCAATTGCTGCGAAAGCTGAGGAGATTGGGAACCCCGCCATCATTTGTGAACGTTTTGCCTGAATTCCGGGAATTCCAACCTAACCAAACCTATGTCTACAACCCACTGGAATATAATGCCGAAATTATCCAGGAATATTATAGACGCTATGCCAATGGACCCAAGCGTGTTTTGTTTCTTGGCATGAATCTGGGAAGCGTTGCATCGCTAAGAACCGGTGTAAGATAATCCACAATTCACAAATATTCTGATTTGATATAGAAATTCACACTGCATTTTCAGATACCCTTTGGGGACATGAGGACAGTGCAAGAATTGATGCAATTGCAGGGCGTGATTAACGAACCACCACTACCTCGACCCTTGGATGAACCCGACTCAAGTAGCACCCGGTTTTGGAATTTAATCCAGGCTCTGTACAATGATGCAGGAAATTTTATGGATATGTTTTTCGAAGATTGTTTTGTCGCCAACTTCTGTCCCTTGGCTTTCCTTGACTGCAGTGGTAAAAATGTTTCCCTTCAAGAATTGCCCAAGGGCAATAATCATGAACATAGTGGCTATATAGAACAAATGAAAGAAGCCTGTTTGGAAAATTTGCAACAACAAGTCGATTTGTTGAATCCTGATCTCGTTATAGCCATGGGTCATTATGTCAAAAATATTCTTAAAGGATTGGAAAATGCCAGAGCATTGAATATAGTGCGTATTAATCATCCAAGTCGTAGAACTGGAATAGCGGAGCGCGAATGGATAAGAGATTCTAAAACGTCTATTCTAAACGAAGAAGTATTTCAAGAGATCCTTCGAAGACACAATATTCCACATGGCATAGACCTCCAGAATGTACCCTGAAAACCTATAAAAAATCAGGGGTGCTTTGGGGAGTTTTTTTTGTAAATGATAATATTTGAAATAAATACAATATGAATGATTGAAATCGATAAGAATGTAGATATATATTCTTATCGATTCTGATCGTATATTTACATTCTTATCGTGTGTGTGTGTGTTTTTTTTTGTTTTGGTTAGATCAGGTTGGAATTTGTTTAAATCGGATGGGAAAACATTGTTGTTTCTGTTGCCATTTTTCCTAAACATGAATCAGGTCATTCTGAACTTAATTCAACTTAGCTAAGAAAACAAGTGTGTGTGTGTTCTCCAAAGCCTAGATTTTTATTGGCATTTTTCTACAGGATCCCCCCACCGTCCTTAGCCGGAACTTTTAGTAGTCTATTACAGTTTTAAGTGTTGATTTTTATACCCTTCACCACACTGTGGTACAGGGTATTATGTCTTTGTGCATATGTTTGCAGCAGGCAAAAGGAAACGAGAGAGACCCACGGTTCCTTTTGAGAATATCCATAGAATTACTCTCTGAGTCGATTTATGCATGTCCGTCCGTTTGAACGTCTGTCGATGTTAAATTGTAAACAAAGTACAGGTCGCATTTATAAACCGATTTGGATGAAATTTGCCAAAGCTCGTCTATTTGGCCCAAGGACGAACTCTGTTAAAATTGGGAAAATCGATTCTGATTTCAATATCGCTCCCATATATATTTTCGTCCGACTTAAGATAAATGGTGCACTAAAGTACCTATATATCTTTCGATTTTCACGAAATTCAGCATAGCATACTGAATTGGGCCTAGAAAGGCGTGCGTAAAGTTTCGTGAAAATCGTTTCAGATTTAGATATAGGTCCCATATATATTTTCGTCCGATTCAAGGTAAATGGTGCTCCAAAGTACCTATGTATCCTTCGATTTGCACGAAATTTGGCATAGCGTAATGAATTAAGTATAGAATGATGTGTGTTAAGTTTCGTGAAAATCGGTTCAGATTTAAATACCGCTCCCATATATATTTTCGTCCGATTCAAGGTAAATGGTGCTCCAAAGTACCTATGTATCCTTCGATTTGCACGAAATTTGGCATAGCGTAATGAATTAAGTATAGAATGATGTGTGTTAAATTTTGTGAAAATCGGTTCAGATTTAAATATAGCTCCCATATATATTTTCGTCCGATTTTATGTAAATGGTGCGCCAAAGTCCCTAAATATCTTTCGATTTGCACGAAATTTGGCATAACGTACTAAATTGAGTCTAGAATGATGAATAGTGAGTTTCAGGAAAATCGGTTAAGATTTAGATATAGCTCCCATATATATTTTCGTCCGATTTAATGTAAATGGTGCGCCAAAGTCCCTAAATATCTTTCGATTTACACGAAATTTGGCATAGCGCACTTAATTAGGTCTAGAATGGCATGTGTCAAGTTTCGTGAAAATCGGTTCATATTTCCATATAGCTCCCATATATATTGTCGTCCGATTTTATGTAAATGGTGAACCAAAGTCCCTATATAACTTTCGATATGCACGAAATTTGGTAGAGAGTACTGAATTGGGTCTGGAATGATGTGTATTAAGTTTCGTGAAAATCGGTTAAGATTTAGATATAGCTCCCATATATATTTTCGTCCGATTTACTATAAATGGTGCACCAAAGTCACTTAATATACTTCGATATGCACGAAATTTGGTATAGCGTACTGAATTGGGCCTAGAAGGACGTACGTAAAGTTTCGTGAAAATCGGTTCAGATTTAGATATAGCTCCCATATATATATTCGTCCGATTTTAGGTAAATAGTGCACCAAAGTCCCTATGTATCCTTCGATTTGCACGAAATTTGGCATAACGTACTAAATTGTGTCTAGAATGATGAATAGTGAGTTTCGGGAAAATCGGTTAAGATTTAGATATAGCTCCCATATATATTTTCGTCCGATTTGATGTAAATGGGGCACCAAAGTACCTATATATCTTTCGATTTGCACGAAATTTGGCATAGCGTACTGAATTGGGCCTAGAAGGATGTATGTAAAGTTTCGTGAAAATCGCTTCAGATTTAGATATAGGTGCCATATACATTTTCGTCGGATTTAATGTAAATGGTGCACCAAAGTACCTATATATCTTTCGATTTGCCCGAAATTTGGCATAGCGTAATGAATTAAGTATAGAATGATGTGTGTTAAGTTACGTGAAAATCGGTTCAGATTTAGATATAGGTGCCATATACATTTTCGTCGGATTTAATGTAAATGGTGCACCAAAGTACCTATATATCTTTCGATTTGCTCGAAATTTGGCATAGCGTAATGAATTAAGTATAGAATGATGTGTGTTAAGTTTCGTGAAAATCGGTTCAGATTTATATATAGCTCCCATATATATTTTCGTCCGATTTAAGGTAAATGGTGCACCAAAGTCCCTATATATATTTCGATTTGCACGAAATTTGGCATAGTGTACTGAATTAAGTCTAAAATTATGTGTGCTAAGTTTCGTGAAAATCGGTTCAGATTTAGATATAGCCCCCATATATATATATATATATATATATATTCGTACGATTTAAGGTAAATGGAGCGCCAAAGTCCCTTAATATATTTCGATTTGCATGAAATTTGGCATAGCGTACTGAATTGGGCCTAGAAGGAGGTACGTTAAGTTTCGTAAAAATCGATTTAGATTTCGATATAGCTCTCATATATATTTACGTCCGATTTAAGGTAAAAGGTGCGCCAAAGTCCCTATATAATTTTAGAAATTTTATGTAAATGCGTACTGAATTGGGCCTAGAACGAAGTACGTAAGGTGTCGTGAAAAACACTTCAGATTTAGATATAGCTCCCATATATATTTTCATCCGATTTTAGGTAAATGGTGCTCCAAAGTCCTTAAATATCTTTCGATATGCAGGAAATTTGTAAAACTTCGTATTCGATTATAGAAAAAAAAAATATTTTTTATTGAATAGTTTAATAAATTTTTTTTTATGCCGAGGGTACTTCTGCACATGACTCATTATGCCATTAAAGTATGTTTTGTAGTTCTGAATATTATCCTTAGATAATATTCCATGTTAACCTTGCTGCCACCCTCTTCCACCACTTGTGAAAAATTGAGCATTTATGCACGCCATTCATAAAGCAGGTCATCACTAAATTACCTAAGAACATTCGATAATGTTTAAGGGAGCGAGGGGGGATGGACGGCAATGGTTGCATTCAGATCCTGAAAAATGGAAATATTGAAATAAAATAGGGTTGTGGATTTTTTTTTTTCTAGATTAGCTGGCAATTTGTGGTTGTGTTTTTCGAACGACCTTGAAAGCCTTTGAAGCCGCCACCACCACAAAAAATTGAAAGAAATATTTTTTCTTGGTGTTTGGAGACATTTAATTTAATCGCTTATTCCATTTAGGTTATTTTTTATTTGCAGTAATTGTCCATCTGACACGCAATAATTAATCGAAATTGGAATTTGAACACCTGCTCATCAGCAATTTAGAGAAAAGAAAAACAGAACTTTATAAATAAATTCGGCAAGCCAATTAGGTCAACAGCGAATTTATGGATGTTAGAAATGAAGGGCCATGGTAGAGGGGGGTGGCAAACCGTAATTCAACATTAAATTTATGATCATGTTTTTATTTGCAGTTCATTGTCATTCTATTTGTTAAATAATTCTCTAACCCTCCCAAAAACAAAAAAAAATTATGCAACGAAAATATGAAGAAAACATCCCAAGAAATATGCTACATATTTTAGTTAATTTCTAGAAAACTTTTGTATAACCTAAAAGAATGCAACATCTTTTTTTTTATTAATTTTCCCTTAAATGTTTTCTTCCTACCCCCAAAAATATGCAACGAAAATATTTTTATTGATCAAACGATGTCAATCTGTAATTTCCCTTCACACAAAGACATATTGTAATCCGTTATAATCTGCTCTGACCATCCATCCGAATAATCCGTCAACATCATTTGTCGTTGTCAAGTTTTAACTTTCAAGATGCCATGCGAAATCATTTTTCCTGCTTTCGATGACTATGCTTATTTTCCCGTCTCCAGCCCCTTTCGGTGAAGATTACACTTAAATTCAAGGTCAATAATGCTGTTGTCTGCAGGATACCTGACAGGATGTTGTATGTAAAAAATGACACATTGCACATTTATGAAAATGCAATTTTCATGATAAACACACACACACACACATAATGGTGGCAAAGGATTAAGAGAAAATGAATAAGCCAAATTCCCCCATGGTTCCTTTTGAGAATATGCATAGAATCACTTTCTGAGTCGATTTATGCATGTCCGTCCGTCTGTCTGTCCATGTTAAATTGTAAACAAAGTACAGGTCCCATTTATGATCCGAATTGGATGAAATTTGGCACAGCTCATTTGTTTGGCATAAGGACGAACCCTATTGAAATTGGGAAAAATCGGTTCAGATTTAGATATAGCTCCCATATATATTTTCGTCCGATTTAAGGTAAATGGTGTACCAAAGTCCCTGAATATCTTTCGATTTACACGAAATTTGGCACAGCGTAATGACTAAGGTCTAGAATGATGTGTGTTAAGTTTCAAGAAAATCGGTTCAGATTTAGATATAGCTCCCATATATAGTTTCGCCCGATTTTATGTAAATAGTCCTCTAAAGTCCCTATATATCTTTCGATTTGCACGAAATTTGGCACAGCGTAATGACTAAGGTTTAGAATAATGTGTGCTAAGTTCGGGAAAATCGGTTCAGATTTAGATATAGCTCCCATATATATCTTCGTCCGATTTAAGGTAAATGGTGTACCAAAGTCCCTATATATCTTTCGATTTGCACGAAATTTGGCATAGCGTACTGAATTAAGCCTAGAATCATGTGTGCAAGGTTTCGTGAAAATCAGTTCAGATTTAGATATAGATCCCATATATCTCTTCGTCCGATTTAAGATAAATGGTGTACCAAAGTCAATATATATCTTTCGATTTGCACG